CACACACACACACACACACACACCACACAGCTTCTTCCTCCAACCCCCATCAGCCGCAAAACCGGTTCGGTTCCGCTTCCCCAGCCTGAAGCTTTGGGCTTCTCCGAAGCGGAACTGAGGAACTGGCAGGATCCAGCAGGCAACAAGCCTCGATTCTTCAGGGATTGTCCTCCTCCGCCCCATGGCTGAGTCTCCAGCTGGGCTGGGCTCCCCCTGGTTCTACTGGTGGGGGCGCTGGGCCGGATCCCCAGAAGCGAAGGGGGGAAGGAGACCCCTGGTAAGGAGGGGGCTGGGCGGGGAGGAGGGTGGGAAGGACCCCCCAGGCGAGAAAAGGAAACTGATGGGTCTCCAGAGCCTCCAACAGCCTCGATCTCTGCGTGGTCTCCTTCCCGTTCCGTACCCGTATTGACCCCCCCCAGGAGGACGGAGAGCGGCCCCTCCCTTGTTCCCCGATTGTAGCCGAGGTGGGGGTCGCAGCCGGGCCCCTCTCTGCCACCCCCACTTGTCTGGGTGGGAATGGGCTGCCTGGAAAGAGGCAGGGAAGGAAAAGCGAAAGCGAAAGAGGGAAACTGAGGCATTTTCAGCCCTGAAGCCCCAGAAGGAAAAAGAGCCAAAGAATTTTGGCTTCTGCAGAAACTTCGCTTTTTCTTCTGAATCTCAGATTTGAGGCTTTGGAGGTCAGGCAAGAGGGGAGCTTCGGTCCCTTCTGGGGGAGGCTCTGAATTTGGGGGGGGACCAAGAACCCCCCACCCCCATAATCCCGCACTGGCTCTATGGGGACCTGGAGGGGGAGGGGGGAACGGAGGGAGGGGGGGCTCTGAGTTGCTCCTCCGAAAGTCTCTCACCCTTTAGTGAGCGGGGGGGGTTTGGAGACCCTCCCTTTGAGAGGCTCTTGGGGGGCTACAAGGGGTCTTTTGGGGAGGGGGAAAGGAAACAGGATGGGGATCCGTGACAGTCACCCAAAGGGAGGGAAAAGGGCTGAAGATTTGGGGAAGAAGTAAAGTTGCGGGGGGGGGGGGAATCCAGGGAAGGGAGAGTGAAGGGCTGGGAGAGTTCAGAAGTGGGAGTCTAGATGTCCTCCTAGTGGCCCTCCCATCGTTCCCCCCGCAAAGGAAGAGTGAGGAGGAGGTGTGGATATTACCTTCCCTCCACCATTCCTCCCTCTGGAGATCCCTGCAGAGAGAAGATCTGCTCACCAGTGGAGCTTCTGCCTGCCCTCCCCCACCAAGGGATGGAGGAGGGGTCCTTAAGGAGGCTCCTCCCCTCCCCCTTTCTTCCCACCCCCTCCACCTCCAGCAAGTTTGTCTCCCATTGAGAGTGAGACAGTCCCCTCTTCCTCCTCCAGGGGGCGCCTCCCATCAGAATCTCAAAGGAAGGTCCCCCGCCCTCCCTTCCTTCTCGAGGGGATCCCACTTTTCCTACTGGCTGGGAACTCCAGGGATCACAGCTCAGCTGACAGAGGCCCAGAGAAGGTGGATCCCCCTGGAAGGGATCAGGAGGGATTTCCAGAAGAGGCTGGACAACCGTTTGTCCAGGGTGGGGTAAGGGCTCCTGCCTCGGCCAGGGGGTCAGACTAGAAGAGCTCTAAGATCCCTTACAGCCTCTGCACCTCCCTCTCCCCATTGCCCCCCCCACCGAAGCCTTCTGCTGGCAGGAAAGACCCCCGAGATTAATGCAGACCCCCAAGACTGAAAGAATCCCCCTCCCACTTTCTTCCCTACCCCCTAGTCTGCCTCCCCCTGAGAGTGAGAGAGTACCCCCCCACCCTCCCCTCTTCCTGATGGGACCCTCCTCCTACTCCTCTACTGGTGGCTGGGAGCGATGGGCCCTGGAGTCCCTTCTGATGGCCTTCCTCCTCCTCCTCCTCCTCCTGGCAGCCCATTTCCTGCACCAGCATAAGGTCGAGTGCCTCTTCCTCAATGGGACGCAGCGGGTGCGATACCTGAATCGGTACTTCTATGACGGGCAGGAGTTTGCCCAGTTTGACAGCGACCTCGGGGGATATGTGGCCATCACGGCATTTGGGAAGGTGGATGTGGACTATTGGAACAGCGATGAGCAGCGCCTGCAGTACCAGAAGGCCAGAGTGGATTCCTTATGCCGATACAACTACAAGATCGGCAGCTACAAGGCAGCCAAGAGGGAGGAGCAAGTGTTTGGCCGGAGAGGTGAGTCCTGGGGGGGGAGGGTCTCTTCTTCCCTGGGAGGGGGAGGCTGGGACCCCTTTCCTTTCCTGGCTTCCCCTGGGGATTCTCCTCCTTGGTGACGGTTCCGCCTCGTTCTTCTTCCTTCTGCCCTCTCAGAGCTCCGGAATCTCCCTCTTCTCCCCAGGATCCGAACTCTCCTCCTGTCCAGGATCTGGGATTCCTTTGATCCCCCCAGGAAATCCACCCAAATCTATTATTTTCTTCTTTGGGCAGGAGGGGAATCCAGCCAGGTCTCTCTCTCTCTCCCTCCCTACTTCTCAATACAGGGAGTCCTCCACTTACAACAGTTCACTAAGTGACTGTTGAAAGACAGAAGTGAAAACAGTGACTTCTGACCCTTTTTCACCCTTATGACCGTTGCAGCCTCCCAGGGTCCCCTGAGCCAAATCCAGGTGTTTGGCCACCGACTCATCTTGTGACAGTTGCAGCATGCCGGGGTCCCCTGGATCCCCTTTTATGACCCTCCATGGGGAAGCAGGGTTCACTTAACAATGATGTTACTCATTTAACAACTGCAGTGATTCACTTAATGACTGTAGCAAGGAAGGTTGCAAGATGGGGCAAAATTCATGGAACAAACACCTCACTTAGCAGGCTTCCGGTTTGCCAGGCTTCGGTGACAGCAGGGATTCGCTTTCTCTGCGATCCCTGCTGTGCTAGCCGTCTTGGTGCCTCTGATCCTGACGGATCTGGAGGATAAGGCTGCCCTGTTGGGGTAGCTGAAGATAGGGGGCATCCGGACAGGGGTTGAGGGGTATCGCAGACCCCCCTCCCCAGCCGGCAATAACCCCCTTTTCTTAAGGGGGTGGAGCGACAGTCTCAATGGCTGCCACGAAGAAGCCGGCAACTGGATTAAGAATGTGCAGGAGGAAGAAGAAGGAAGTTTTAAAATGAAAGTTTTTCTTGGCTGAACCGGGAGTTTAAGGACATATCTAATACCTGGAAAATTACTATTCTTTTTGGATGCTACAATGTTTCTAATGGAGGTTCTCAGCAGGGAAGAAAAGTGTTGAAATATAAAGTTACTCTCCCTCCCTTATGGAACTAACAAATGGACATGGAAAATCTGCTCTCTAACAGAAGGTAAAAATTTAAAGCCCTTTGTTACAAGTGGGAAGGGAGAGGCTTGGGGAAAAAAATCTATATTAAGACCTTGTTGGAGGAGATGCTTTGAAGATAAAGAGATTAGAAGCTAACTGCAAAAAAGATTTAAAATACAGATTGGGTTTTTTTTTTCCCTAATTGACTTTACCCCAGGAAGAGAAACTGTAAAAGGAAGAAGTTTGTGCTTTGCCTGGACTGTTTGGTGACTTTGGGACTTTGGGATTTTAAAGTTTGGAAATACTTGATTGGCTTACTAACAAGAAGAAGATACAGAAAAAGAAGAAGAAAAAGTTTATAATGGCTCTACCTCTCGATGAACTAAAAAAAATATCTAAAAATAAGGTAAGAAAGCAAGGATGCTATGGGAGAAGCCCTTTGTTTTCTAGATATGGCGCTTGCTATGTGTCAGCAAATTAAACAACAGCTGGAAGAAGCGGAGGAAGAAGAAGCCATTTTTAATGAATTAAATAGTGTGATTAAGAAAGAAAGGAGAAAGAGAGGAGGGAAAAGGAAGGATTAAAATATTAAAAAATATTTATGAAAGAGAAAAATAAGATGCAAAAACAATATAATGCCAGAAAGCAAAAGGAAAGAAGAATGCAACAGAAAGGGGGAGCCAAGAAGGCAGAGGATTGGAGAGGAGTGGGTAAAAAGTCTAGGTGGGCCAAGAAAGAAAGGGAAAAGGGGGGAAACGTTATAAAGGTATAAAACAAGATGGGAAAAAGAAATTTTTTTTTAGGGACAAAGGGTAATGTATGATTCTTTAAAAGGCGGGGGGGAATTCTGCATAGTACACATGATAGTATTGTAGCAGTTGTATTTGTATT